GACGAAAATTTTATTTTTCCTAGTAGATAATAAGGTAGGTACTAGGAAAAGGTTAGAAGCGTTCGATATGTGGTGTTATAGGCGAATGATGAGGATACCATGGATAGAGAAGGTTAGAAATTGATAAATTATTAGAAAGAATAGGAGAATAGAGGACTCTATGGAAGTCAATAAAAAATAGGCGAGATAGATTGATAGGACACCTTCACAGGCATAAAGGTCTAGTCAGATACATATTGTAGGCAGAAACGGGAGTTAGGAGGGGTAGAGGTAGACCTAGATTAGACTACTGTTCGGAAATAGTTAAGGATAAGGGGTTGTTCTAGTTTTAGGGAAATGCGAAAATTAGCTCAGGATAGGAAAGAGTGGAGGTGCGTGTCCAACCAGTCCTAAGACTGACGACCTTACGATAATGAGTATTTAGTCCCGAATTTTTCTAGTCAGTGCCAATTTTTTGACGTGACAACATCTTATAATTCGATAGAGTCGACTGCACGCACGAAAAAACATGACTCATGCGGTGTTACCTCGCTCTGAGGCGTTCCATTTAAGGCTTGAAGTGCAAGCGAGAGCGCGGAACGAGCGACAAAGAGGCACAATCGGCCTCCGCGTTCGGCAGCATTCTCTATATCCATACAAAATATCTATCAAACAAATAAAATTAAAATTTTCTTTTGAAAAATGAAACCATTCTATCAGTATTTTCTTATGACGTTGTCACGTTCAACTATCGTCAGTAAACCGACTTTACAGACAACCGATTTTTTTTAAAACTAATTTTTAAAATCGACATTCTCACTCGCACGGTATAAATATCCTGCACTTTTCATTTGATACTAGCTAGGAAAAGGATAAATTCCACCTTACGTCTAAGTATCTGATCTATTTATTTGTTTTTGCAGGTAACGGCACTATCAATCACGTTTGTCCTAGTAGCTCTGCAGTTCTATTCACCTTACTCTAGCTGGAAACCATCATTGTAATTGTATTAATTTATGTAGTTGCTAATGTATGCTAATGTATGTACTCTATATCTATTCCCTGTATATGTTTATTGAGGTTGCAAGTGTGAAAAATGCTGTAGAAAATATTTAGAACATAAAATTTGTAACTCTCACATCTGATGTTCATTATTGTAATATTGAGCAAATAATGTAATCCTATTGTTTCAAAATACACTGATTAATTCACAAATACAATCGTAACTTATTATTTATTGACTTAAAAATTAAAATCTCTTACATATGCTAGTGTTACGAAATCTTTAATTTTGGTGTTTAATAAAATCAATTTGATAGTAGAACTTTACTATTTGTGGTGTCAATTTACCTACCAATTTCAAAATGGCTACCTTTACTTTTTTGGTTGGAAAATGAAGAAGTTGTAATGAAGTTTGAGAAAATGTTCTTTAAGTCATCCTAATTAAAAGTCTCAATAGTGTTTATTATTGCTGTGTAAAACAGTAGAAACTTTTTATATTTTTCTATTGTACAATACATATTTCAAGTACTATTAAAAAAAAGAACCCACGTCAGACCTTTTCAGCAACAAATATCTCTAATATACTTCGAGTCATCTAAATTGGGGGCTCATGCAATAAAACTGCCAACAATAGATCGCCATTGCTCATACCTAGGTGCAGTTACAACTTCATGGCACCATTCAAACGAAACACGTTTTATATTCGGTTATATACCTGTGAAGTTCAAAATAGTTTAAAAATTCGAAGGAGTGTATTCCACTGCTCTGTTTTAACGAAATATAAAGAAATATGGAAAATGCCCAGGTAGTACAATATTTTTTTTGAATTTCAGCTACTATGGATTATTGTCCCTTAATTTTATCCCTAAATAAAATTCGGGTCGTCCTGCTTATTTCTGACGATGTTAGCCATTCGACAAAACAAGCTTAAAATTCTTCCGAAAGTTTTATTGGTTCAGCCGCCATTTTAGTTGGCTCAAAGTTTACCATATATACTTTTAGTTTTATTTGTCATATATTTTTATTGATTGTAGATTACAGAATATTCTTGCTGTACAAAAATACATGCACCACCTTTAAGCATGCATTAAACAATAATTTCAAAAATTTATCTACTATTAAATCTACTCATCGAAAAGCATAATTTCCATGCAGAGGATAATTTTATATTTACTCAGAAAAATGAGCTTTTGTTTGTCAACCTAATATTTCTATGTTTATATTGCGCAAATTGTTATACATTTCAATGTTTGCAGACGATAAATTGAAACAGATATCAAAATAATCAAGGCAACATTCTCCAAAATAAAAATCGTGTTTGCTATCAGTTACCTAACAACTACCCCATATGCAATTGATATTTTTTCCCAATGTTAACAGAATGGTTTTAAATAAGCAAAATACAAAAATGGAACCGAAAAAAGTATCAAGTCCGCGGCCATTTTTATACGGTCCAGATCAAGTGGAAAAAAAGCATCTCTGTAAGTGTTTTGAATTATTCCTTACGGTTAATCGAATAATGGGGATAAGTGACATTACTTTAATAACAAAAACTGATTTCTTTAAATCATCAGTACCATGGACCATTTACATCGGATTTTTTACAACAGTTTGCTGCTTTTTCGTTTATCTGAATGTGATTCGATTACGAATGAATATTGGAAAACCTCTTCCCATTCTTTTGCACGCTTTCAGTGACGTAGTATTCTCAATATTTATAGTAGCGCTGTCCCTTATCAATCTGCTACGTTCGAAACATTTTGCAAGAGTATTAAACTCATTCGTAAAAATTATTCTAAAGGAAAAACTGATTTGCGACAGTGGGAAGAAGAAGTTACGAATGGTCCTTATTTATGACGTCATATTTATTGCATTTATCTTATGTTTACAATTCGTGATATTCATTGTCTTCAAGTATCGCTATGACGTGCAAGAATTCGATAATGGATCGATCGGAAACCATTTTCTTCAAACAGTTTCACTTACATTTTATTGGTTCACCAGCTTTTTTTTCGTGTTATTCTCGTTTTGTTTGGCTTGCTTCGAAAAAGCATTGATGAAATATTTGGATTTTACATCCACTAATCCGAATATCAACATTGATATGACGAACAATAGATGGAAAGCTTTCGGCATAGTCAACCGAAGCTATTGTGATTGCGACCATGACATTCCGCTTGAAATAAGATGCCTATCGAAAGCTCAACGAATAGAACATTTGAGATACATTCACGAGAGCATAATGTCTGTAATTTATAAAATAAACAAATGTTTAAATCCGCAATTGTTTTTCCAACTAACTGTTGAATTAGCTGTTCTTGTTGTTAAATGGTACGAAGTTGTTGTTTACCATACATTAAACACATCGTATCCGCCTTCACTTCTGGTAAATGTCTTTAATTGGCTTTATATCGTTCTTCATACTTTCGCATTAATTATATTTTTGAAGAAATCTCAAGACCTGCACAACCTGGTGAGATTCAAATCGTTCTAAATGATTTTGCTATCCTCATAATGTATATGTTGTGTATTTTAGATCGTTGGCCTGAACGAAATACTTCACCAGTGCGTTTTAAATTCCAAAACGTACGAAGAAACCATCCAATTTAAAATTTTTATCATTAAAATAGGACAGCAGCGCCCTTTTACTGCAAACGATATCTTTGACGTAAATTTAAGCATAATCGGCCCAGTTGAGTATTTACTAACAATTTTTTGTGTGTTTCATTATCTGATGCGTTTTTCTTTCAGATTTTTGCCAACATACTTACATACGTCCTTGTGGCACTGCAGTTCAACGTAATGCCGCACAAAGAAAATTAAACTAGTAACATAATTTATTTATTTGTCTAACAAAATATTTACAATACAGCTTAACAATGGCAGTAGAGAAACTATTTACAAAAGTAATCACATGAGCACAATTGGCAAAGACTATCTATCTCCTTCCCATCCGCCTCCGCCTCCGTGCCCGCCGCCGTAACCGCCTCCTCCTCCAAAACCACTTCCTCCTCCATATCCACCTCCGCCTCCATGCCCTCCGCCGCCTCCATATCCACCGCCGCCACCGTAACCACCTCCGAATCCGCCACCGCCGCCGTGACCACCGCCATTTTCTTTTTGAATAATAATAATTTCTTTTCCACCGCCTCCGCCGCCACCGTGACCTCCGCCTAATCCTCCGCCATATCCGCCACCCCCTCCGAATCCTCCGCCACCTCCGTAGCCACCTCCACCGCCGTGATGATCATCGTGGCCTCCTCCAAATCCGCCGCCACCTCCGTAGCCTCCTCCACCGCCGTGATGATCATCGTGGCCTCCTCCTAATCCACCGCCACCTCCAAATCCGCCGCCACCTCCGTAGCCTCCTCCACCGCCGTGATGATCATCATGACCTCCTCCAAATCCACCACCACCACCTCCAAATCCGCCACCTCCTCCGTATCCGCCGCCACCATGGTCATCATGACCTCCTCCAAATCCAGATCCACCTCCAAATCCACCACCTCCTCCAAATCCGCCACCGCCGCCGTGGTGTTCATCGTGGCCTCCTCCAAATCCGCCACCACCTCCAAATCCACCGCCTCCTCCATAGCCGCCACCACCATGATCGTCGTGGCCTCCTCCGTATCCAGTTCCACCTCCAAATCCACTACCTCCGCCAAATCCGCCACCACCATGGTGTTCATCGAGGCCTCCGCCATATCCGCCACCACCTCCAAATCCACCGCCACCTCCGTAGCCGCCGCCGCCGCCATGGTCGTCATGACCTCCGCCGATGCCAATTCCTCCTCCAAATCCACTGCCTCCTCCAAAACCACCTCCTCCTCCATAACCACCGCCTCCGTGTAGGTCATCGTGGCCGCCTCCGAATCCACCACCTCCTCCGAAACCACCACCACCTCCAAATCCACCACCACCGTGGACTTCTTCAATTATAGTAGCACCTCCTCCATGTCCACCTCCATATCCTCCACCACCTCCTCCTCCTCCTCCATGGCCACCTCCTCCTCCATGGTCATGGATCTTTATAATCTCTTTTATCACTTTCTTTGGTTCTGGTGGTTTGAGATGTATTTTAATGTGGACACTGAAATAAAAACGTATTATGGTGTGAATCACAAATAAAATAAACCTAGTCATAGATATGCAACTAGTCACTTCTGTTGTAATTTTAGCAATCTTCTTATTAAACACAATAAAGAAATCACTATGCTCATCATTTTACTGCAGTTTCTCTATTTTTTTATTTCCTGTGCCACAATTTAACTGATTTAATTGCAAAAATGTATTTTTAATTATTTCACGTATTTCTACTTACTGTTCTTTTCCAAACGTTCCGTATGTCGAATGGACGATTGCTAGTGCCAGAAGCAGCACCTAAAAGAAAGCACGAACAGTGAAATTAACAAACAATACCACTATACTTCGAAAGAACGGAGAAACTTACAATAGCATTTCGATTCATCGTGACAACTAATCTACTTTAGAGGTTTAGGATCACCCACGTGGAGTTCGACCAGCGATCCGTAGGTGAAGTGTATCATCTTTCCCGAAATGTGCGGTTTTATAGACGGATTTTCACTAGCCATTCGCACGCTATTACACCTGATAAAGTTCCCAAACGGTGGGAGATTCGAAGCTGGCCGTGACCCGGGAGGTTTGGAACAGTGAAAGAAGAAAGTGATCGCGACCAGTTTTGCACTTGAACTTCCACAGCCGCTTTCGTCTTGGTCGAACATTAACCATACACACACGCACACATACACCATATATACATACAAATATCATACGACAGATGCCACACGGAATATTATTATTATTACCATTATTATTACTATTATTATCGTTGGTGTTACGTGTATGCCGCAAGAAAGTAATGCCGTCAGCCGGTCTTGTTCAATACTCCTTTCACTTGGATGCAATCGAGTTGTAACCCTTTAATGATTTAATGTTATTCTTTTCTCATCGCATTCCTCCGGCCCCCCGCATGAGCTCGGGAAAGAACTTTCTCGGTAAATTGCCTGAAGTTGTACGACGTCGAACAATACTCTTCTTCGTTCTTGCTAACATCCGATGCCCATCAAACGCATTTTCGTTTACACAGAAGAGGTCACATTCTGTGTTTCTTGCAGTGTTTGGCAATTTTCACTTAATTATCAGGAAATGCGAAATTACCGGGTGTATGAAAACCTCTACGAATCAATGAAGATAAATCCAATTACCGTTAGACCATTTCAGCAACAAATATTTCTAATATACTCTGAGTCATCTAAATTGGGGGCTCATGCAATAAAACTGCCAACAATAGGCCGCTTTGGCTCATATCTAAGTGCAGTTACAACTTTATGGCATCATTCAAACGAAACACGTTTTATATTCAGTTATATACCTGTAACTACAAAGCTCTAAATAGTTTAGAACTTTAGAAAAATGTATTTAACTATTCTGTTTTAACGAAATATCGCAGATGCCCAGGTAGTACAATATTTTTGATGAATTGAACTGCAAAAATTAACTCACTAAGGGTTATTGTCCCTTAATTTTTTCACTAAATAAAATTCGGGCCTTTAGCCATTCGACAAAATAACCTTGTAAATCTTCTAGAAGTTTTATTAGTTCAGCCGCCACTTAAGATGGTTCAGAGTTTATGTACTTTCAGTTTTATTTGTAGTATATATTTTTTTTATTATAGATTACATAACAATCTTGTACAAAAACACATGCACCACCTTTAAGCATGCACTAAACAATAATTTTAATATACCGGGTGTATGAAAACCTATATGAATCAGTGGAGATAAATACAATTAGCGTCAAATAATGATAAAAATAACTAATAAACTTGCACTTCATGCATATGTTTTATAATTATATTTTACTTCTTCAAGAGAGACTGAACCCGAGGTTATTTAGTCAAAGCCCGAAACATTGTTATGCTTCAACCTTTGGGTTGTATATTTTTGATTAATCCTTAAATAGACTAAACTAATCGATCAAAAGTTTTTACATCTGCATTAAAAAGGTAGCGGAAAGTTTAAGTGAAAAATTCCGTATTAATCTATCACATCGGTCGAAAAATAACCGAAAAATTGCCTCAAGCAATGGAAGACGTCTTCACAAACGAATTTGTGTTCTTCCAACAGATTTGTGAGTGAAAGTGAGGTATTCAGGTACTAATAAATCTTTAAATGACGGGGAAATGGTCTTTATTACAAACCAAGAGCGTTTATAATGAGAAAAAGATAATTGGCCTATTAAGACATTGTTAAAAAATCTTCAGGAAGCTTAACATNTTTAATGTTATTCTTTTCTCATCGCATTCCTCCGGCCCCCCGCATGAGCTCGGGAAAGAACTTTCTCGGTAAATTGCCTGAAGTTGTACGACGTCGAACAATACTCTTCTTCGTTCTTGCTAACATCCGATGCCCATCAAACGCATTTTCGTTTACACAGAAGAGGTCACATTCTGTGTTTCTTGCAGTGTTTGGCAATTTTCACTTAATTATCAGGAAATGCGAAATTACCGGGTGTATGAAAACCTCTACGAATCAATGAAGATAAATCCAATTACCGTTAGACCATTTCAGCAACAAATATTTCTAATATACTCTGAGTCATCTAAATTGGGGGCTCATGCAATAAAACTGCCAACAATAGGCCGCTTTGGCTCATATCTAAGTGCAGTTACAACTTTATGGCATCATTCAAACGAAACACGTTTTATATTCAGTTATATACCTGTAACTACAAAGCTCTAAATAGTTTAGAACTTTAGAAAAATGTATTTAACTATTCTGTTTTAACGAAATATCGCAGATGCCCAGGTAGTACAATATTTTTGATGAATTGAACTGCAAAAATTAACTCACTAAGGGTTATTGTCCCTTAATTTTTTCACTAAATAAAATTCGGGCCTTTAGCCATTCGACAAAATAACCTTGTAAATCTTCTAGAAGTTTTATTAGTTCAGCCGCCACTTAAGATGGTTCAGAGTTTATGTACTTTCAGTTTTATTTGTAATATATATTTTTTTTATTATAGATTACATAACAATCTTGTACAAAAACACATGCACCACCTTTAAGCATGCACTAAACAATAATTTTAATATACCGGGTGTATGAAAACCTATATGAATCAGTGGAGATAAATACAATTAGCGTCAAATAATGATAAAAATAACTAATAAACTTGCACTTCATGCATATGTTTTATAATTATATTTTACTTCTTCAAGAGAGACTGAACCCGAGGTTATTTAGTCAAAGCCCGAAACATTGTTATGCTTCAACCTTTGGGTTGTATATTTTTGATTAATCCTTAAATAGACTAAACTAATCGATCAAAAGTTTTTTAACGAATGGATGAATAAACTTAAACTCGTGGAGAAAAGACTCCTGCTTTTTAATTACCTCCTTATGTATGTATGTCAATTACCTATAAACGTCTTCATGACCACAAATTAGAGTAATTACGTGTTTATGTCAGCATATACTTAACATGACAATCCTACCTTGACGCAGATCATTTAACGGCCTTATTAATGACTTAATAGTAACAAGGCATTTTCTGTAAGCTTCTCAATCATCTTATCACATCATTAAAAAAATTAATCACACCGCATTTACAATTATTGATAATTATTATTCAATAAAACACTCCGCCAAATCCGCCACCACCATGGTGTTCATCGAGGCCTCCGCCATATCCGCCACCACCTCCAAATCCACCGCCACCTCCGTAGCCGCCGCCACCATGATCGTCGTGACCTCCTCCGATGCCAATTCCTCCTCCAAATCCACTGCCTCCTCCAAAACCACCTCCTCCTCCATAACCACCGCCTCCGTGTAGGTCATCGTGGCCGCCTCCGANATTAAAAAAATTAATCACACCGCATTTACAATTATTGATAATTATTATTCAATAAAACAATATGTGAACATATATGGGTATTAATAATATCGTTATAGATATGCCAACGTAGATTCCATTCCCAAAAATAAACATGAACTTAAATTTCATAAATTTGGTAAGTTGAAAACAATCGGCAAATATCTATACTTTATATTCAATAATTCACTACTTTCAATTTAAAAAAAAGGGAAAAAAATGTCTAGAAGAAAAAAGCTATTTGGAAATCTCACAAACGTGAGGTACGTGAAGGGCAAGTCCGTCCCTGTATTCATATTCTATGTTTCAAAAACATCAGGGTGATGACCCATGACATTCTAAATTACCTCTAAGTAAACGTTCCGTATAATTGGTACCATAGACATAGACATTGTACTGAGAGATCTCTATATAGTTGTGTAAAGTAAATACGGGCAGAAACGTGAGAGAGACAAAGCGATCGTGCGGCCAGTAGTTGTCTCTTTCTATGATATTTGCTGGCTTACAGGAAAGACAAAAATTTTCAGTCTCTCTCCAGTCTCTCAGAATCTTTCAACGTCTCTGAGGGCGTTTCTAACAGTCTCTCATTTATTGCCTAGGTGTTTCTATGGATCACTCACAGTCTCTGTATGAGAGACTCGAACGATAAAATTGTTAATTCAGAGATTCAAGTCTCTCAGAAAGAGACTGAATTAATAAAACTGAAAAATTGAGAGACTCGAGTCTCTCTTAGAAAGACTGGGATCTCTAAAATATGTTGAACTTAGAAAATTTTAACCATGTCTATCGAGACATCAGTTATTGAGAGATTCGAGTCTCTCGTTCAGAGACTGGATACGAAATGGGGATCTCTCTATGAGCGACTCGAGTCTTTGATTCAGAGACGTTAAACAGTTTTTTTGACAGTCTCTCTCAGCGACACCAGAGAGACTTGATGAGAGACGGAGACTCGAGTCTCGCTTTCAAAGACTCTGAGAGGCTGAAAATCTTTTTCTCGGGACCGCAAGGGCGTTTTCTCTCTTTCCAGAGAGAGGTCAATTTCGTGATGGTTCATTCTCTATGTCTAGGATTGGTACATATTGCATTTATATTGGGAAGAAGAATGTATCCTCTATTATCTATGTCTATGGAAGGTACATTCAAATTAAAACCGCGCCGGTACGATGACATTGTCTCAATAAGCATTTAAATTAACATAATCGTGACTTTCTTTAATTTTTCAAGCATGTCGCTTAAATATTTAGAATTCATAGGATTCATAGAAATGATGTCCTCAAACGCTTTCATCATTATTGGTGTCCACTGGTCACTAGAAATACATGTATTCATGTTCAATATCGAAAGTTTGACGTTCCCTTGTTTCCGTTTGTTTCCGTAGCTACCGAAAATTTGCTTCTCATAGTCAACCGGTAACTAATTTAATATGTGGTATCTTATTAAAATTTCGTTTTCATAAATATTGTTGCCTACTTTACGTCACTTTCACCAAACTAAAAGGCGCAATAATTTCACGAACCACACCTGTATACATATATCATTCCGCTTTATTGGTGCATAAAAATTCTATCCTTTTAAAAACTAGAAAACACGCTAGATACCAGGTATAAACATATAAAGTCAGCAATCCCCTTG